CCTTCCTCCTCCGCCCCAGGGACCCCTCCGTGAAGAGGACTCTCTGTCGTGGCTGCTCTTCCCTCCTCGTCCCGGGCCTCACTTGCACGCAGCGCCAGAGACGTGAGTGCTCGTGCAGAGGTGGGGACATGGAGGAGCGCTGGGGGGTGGGGCGAGGGTGGGGAATGGGGGGTTGTGTGAGAGGCCGAACAGCGCCTGCCTCGCTCCCGATGGGTGTCCGCGTGGAGTTTGCAGGCGTCGGCCTTCTCCAGCTCTGGGAAAAGTTCTAACTCCACTTGCACAACTCAAGGTTTGGGCTTGGCTTTTTCCCCCCAGTCTGGACAGGCAGAGAAATGATGGCATCACGAGGCATCCCCACCTGTGCTTAATAACAGATGTTATGTAGTCTCGTGGAGGACATGGTCCCATCACCATTTGTTCATTAAACAAATACTTATTTTCTAAAATGAGTCAAGTACAGTGCTGGATTCATTATTCTCAGTGAAATTACAGTCTGATGAGAGACAAAGAAACTATTAAAATAGTGTAGAAAAAGGCTTTAATTGAGGGAGTAGAATGCTAACACTCATGCCAGTGGTGGTGAGGTTTGTGATAAGCAAGGGGAGTGAGAGATGAAAATTCTAGGCACGTGTGAGGACTTGGAGACTAAAAGAGCTTTTGGTGCTGTCAAGGAAATGCGAGTTCAGGAGACTGGAGTTTGGGATGGGCAGGAGCAAGACATGATAAATCTGGAGGGAGAAACGGGCCAGATCTTGAAGAGTCTTGTTAAGGAGTTTGGACTTTATCTTAAAGAGTTCCGGTAAATTAGCTGGGCTCGGTGGCTCAACCTGTAATCCCGCGCCTTTGGGAGGCTGAGGTGAGTGGATTGCCTGAGCCCGCGGGTTCGAGACCCGCCTGGGCAAATTGGTGAGACCTCATCTCTACAATAAATCAAAATGAGCTGGGCGTGGTAGTGCGCGCCTGTAGTTCCAGCGACTTGGAAGGCTGAGGCGGAAGGATCGCCGGAGCCCTGCAGGTTGAGGCTGCGGTGGCTGGGAGCGGCCACTGCACTCCAGTCTGGGTGACAGAGTGAGACTCCAACTCAAAAAAAAAGAGTTCTGGTAAATTGATGGAGTTATGCAGGGGCCTGACACCATCAAATTTGTATTCAAATGGAGGAGGGAATTCCTGCTGAAAAACAGTGGAGGCAAAACTGGCTGCAGGAGGTCTTTTCTAAACCTGAGTTCCTTTTTCCCACTTTGCCCCAGGACACAGAAGACAGCGCTGGACAGTAAAGACTTGTCTAACATGCTGGCGCTGCCAGCGCTTCCTGAATGATCCTGGACATCTGCTCTGGGGAGACAGGCCTGAGGCTCAACTGGGGAGCCAGACAGGTGAGGTGGTAGAGAAAATGGAGGATACACCAGAGGATAGGGACATTGAGGGATGTAGAGCTGAAGAGGACACATAGGTGGGTTCTTGGTTGATATGAGAGATGCCACAGTCTCAGCAAACTAATAATGCACCTTTAATTCTGCTTGTCTACCCAGATACCAAACCACCACAGTCCTTGCCAGACACAGCCCACCCCATTCCAGCCCACCTTCCTGAGGAGAAAGTGCAGCCTTAGGGCTTTAGTCACCAGTAATGGATTTGCCCCATCTTCCAAATAAATGAATTTTAATTCTGTTTTACTTTGTGTGATTCTGTTCTGTGGGTATTTCAATTCTTAATTAATTCTTAATTTTATTTTCTTTTGTTTCTGTCTGTGTTTCTTGGTCACCTTCTTTACACCTTTGTTCTCTTCCCATGCGGGGAGATCCAGATTTCTGTGGACCACTTGGGCCCACTAAGCAGCTCCCATTTCCAGGGCTATGGCTCCAGGTTCCTGTTATTCCTGCTTCCTCAGTGCAATACCATGTCTGGAAATAAAGCTCCAGAGTTTCCTGCAAGATCCTGAGCCACTTTAGGGCACTCCATAGTTAATAGTCAATATCCATAACTATTGACCAAAAAGCTGGACAGAATGCCTATGCCACTGCTGCTGTTTTTCAATGCGGGGGTGGGGTGGGGGGGTGGGACATGGGGGAGTGTTCCTATCTTCCAGGCCCACTCACAGTTGGTTTTTTTCCAGTCTCAAAGTTGTGTTCTATAAAATTCTGACAAGGGAAATGGTACAAACCTGAACTGACAAGGTCAAAGGTGCTAACAAAAGGACACAGCAGACATTACACAAGTATGCTACTCAAAATTTTCTTGAGAATCAGTAAACAACTAAAATATTGTTTTCTTTGATATCCCTGAGAGCCTACTCAAAGACAGAATTCCCAGACTGACCTCTCTGCCAGCTGCCAGCTAAGTAGTTTACCCTAAAAGTATACAAATAAAATGTACTATTCCCAGAGTACAGTTTTCTTTCTTCTATGTCTCTAACAAATCCTATGTTGCACTTATCTATTGCTGCATAAAAATGACTTATTGTAGTTTAAAACAATAATGGTTTATTATTTCCTCTGATTCTATGGTTAGGAATTCTGAAAGGGTTTGGCTGGGTGATTCTTCTCCATATGGAATCAGCTGAAGACACATAGCTGCATTTAGCTGGTGTCTGGTAGCTGATCTGGAAGACCCAAGGAACTTCTCTCATGTCTAGCACCTCTTTGCCTCTCCAGGTGGCCTTGTTAACTAGATAGCTTTGACGTCCTCTCAGTATGGCTGTCTCAAGGTGGTTGGGCTTATTACATCACTTCTGGCTCCCACAGAGAGCATCCCAATGTGCAAGTGCATATCAAGCTTCTGTTGTGTCACACTTGTAAGTGTTGCCTTAGTCACAGTAAGGCACGTGGCCAAGACCAGAGTCAGTGTGGAAAGGCCTACCCTGAGGTTTGAATGCTGGAAGTTTCCTTGGTTCCCTGGGAACCATCACATCCTTGTTTTGCCTTTGCCCCTGACTTGGTTTCTCCACTGACTTCTTCATTGTCTGTAAATTATTTGCATAGAAGATACTAAACAAGGTCACAGGTAACCAAATGTTTCTGAGTTATTTTTTGACAGTTTATTTTTGGAAGTAGTGCCCACCTGAGTCAACTGTCTCAGCCAACAAAAACAAATAGTCTGACAGTTGTATCTTGTACTTAACGACCCTTTGCATTCTCAGCTCACCTTCTGTGGCTCCTCCAGTGAGTCTCATTTCTTATCATTGATCTATTTGACTCTTGGACACTAAGTCTGATTCTTGACCAAATTTGTCTTTAGTGTCTTATGACTGCATATGACTAAACATGTCCACAGTGAGATACCAGTGGGGAAACGTTTTGATTTCATGGCTCAATTAAGTGATTCCTTTCGTGTGGAAGATCATGGGAATCAGGTCCCAGTTGAAGGGAAGACAAAACAGAATCTGGAATGTTTCACTTGTAAGTCTTTTGGTTTCTTAATTTGTTGTATGTTTCCATCAATATAGTTTTCTCTAACTCTTAAAGGTCATAGCCACCTTCTTTCTTCCTCGGCTGAGTGCAGTGGCTCATGCTTGTAATCCCAACACTGTGGGAGGCCAGGGTAGGAAGATTGCTTGAGCCCAGGAGTTCGAGACCAGCCTGAGCAACATAGTGAAACCTTGTCTTTACAAAAAATAAAAAAATTAGCCAGGCATGGTAGTATGCACATGTAGCCCCAGCTACTTAAGAGGCTGAGGTGAAAGGATTACCTGAGCCCAGGTGGTTGAGGCTGTGGTGAGCTATGATTGTGCCACTGCACTCCAGCCTGGCCAACAGAGTGAGGCAATTCAAAAAAGCAGAAATTAAAATATAAAGATCATAGTGCTCTTCTGTCTTCCAAAATTCTGTCCTTTTTCATGTTTACTTATAAATGTTATAAAACATAATTACATATGTAACATACAATTATATTATCTATATAATATATACTAATATAGATATATATCATGATAGTTGCATAAAATACGTAAAAATGGATTTTCTATAGGAAAGATGAAAAGAAACCAAATTCCTAGTATGAAATAGCTTTCTCAAGTGTTTCTTATAATTCAGTAATTCAAAATATGTGCCCTTTCAAGGACTCTTTAAATAACTAAAAAAAGGAGAGAAAAGAAACTTAGGTCATTCGAATTGAATCAAGAAATGAAGTCATTCACTAGTCATGGAAGACAAGCCTTAGTCGTTCTCTGAACATTCAGTACATTTAGCACTTTCAAAACTGGTAAAAATGAGTAGGTGAAAGTGAGAAGGATTCAGAGACTTATTCTGAATTCAGAAGGGAACTAGAAAATTAGATTCTCTACAAAGGGAATAATAATGTTGGTTTTGTCTATCTCACAGTGGTAAGTATCAAGTAAGATAATGTACATGGAGACACCTTAAAAATTAGATATGGGTATTTTAATTAGTGGTAATTGTAATAATAGTTTGGAAGTAATAACAAGTAGCAAAATATATTAGAAAATACAGGTGTAGACATCAGGGAATTTGAGTTGCCCCCATAATAAATGTGTATCCTAAAGCATAACTATACCACCATGAGAATGGTACCTGTAATTATAACTTGAAATAATTATAGACTAGTTGGACTCTTGCAAAAACATAGAAAACTCCCCTGCATCCTCATTCAATTCCCCTCTAGTGATTCCTTTCTTATTGCGGTAAAATATATTTACAAAATTTATCATTTTAACCATTTTAAAGTGTACAATTCAGTGTCATTAAGTACATTTGCAATATTGTACAGTTATTACCACTGTCTAGTTCCAGAACTTTTTCATCATCCCAATCAGAAATCAGTTTCCATTAAACAGTCACTCCTAATTCCTCCCTACTTTAGATCCCCCAGCAACCACTAATCTGTTTTCTGTCTCCGTGGATTTGCCTATTCTGGGTGTTTGTTTCATATAATGGAATAATACCATTTGTGGCCTTTCTTACTTAGAATGCTTTAAAGGTTTATCCATGTTGTAGCATGTATCAGTATTTCATTCTTTTTATCACTGAATGATATTACATTGCATAGGTATACCACATCTTGTCTATTCAGTCATTCCTCAATGGACACTTAAGTTGTTTCCACTCTGGCTATTATAAGTTTCTGATTGAGTACTAGTTTTTCATTATTTGGGCATACTTAGGAGTGGATCCTATGTTAGTTTTATGTTTAACTTATGGTTTTGATTATCAAGCTCCTTTTCACAGCTGCTATACCATTTTACATTCCTACCAGCCGTGTGCAAGGGTCCTAATTTCTCCCCATCCCCTTCTCTATTTACTTTTAACTTAGTTTCTTTGTTGTTTATTATAGTCATCCTAGTGGGTGTAAAGTGATATCTCTGTGGTTTTGAAACACATTTCACTAATGACTAATGATGTTGAGCATCTTTTCAGGCATTTGTTGGCCATTTGTATATTTTCATTGGAAAAATGTATTTTCAAGACATTTGCCCATTTTTAAAAAATTGGGTTGTCTTTATGCTTTTTTTTTTTTTTTTCCTGAGTCAAGGTCTCACTCTATCACCCAGACTGGAGTGGAGTGACACAAATAGCTTACCAAGCCTCGACCTCCTGGGCTCAGGTAATCCTGCCTTAGCCTCCTGAGTTGCTGGAACTATAGGTATGCACCACCATGCCTGGCTAATTTTGTTAAAGATGAGTTCTCACTATGTTACCTAGGCTGGTCTAGAACTCCTAGGTTCAAGCAATCCACCTCAGCCTCCCAAGGTGTTGGGATTATAGGCATGAATCACAGCACCTGGCCATCTTTATGCTTTGAGTTGTAATAATTCTTTATAGATATGTATGTATATGATACTAGGTCCTTATCAGACACATGATTCACAAATATTTTCTCTCATTCCATGGGTTGTTTTCTCACTCTCTTGATGGTATCTTTTGATGCATAAAAGTTTTTAATTTTGATGATCAGGCAGCTAATTTCTTAAAGGAAACATCCCGCCAGGCTCAGTGGCTCAGCCTGTAATCCCAGCACTTTGGGAGGCTGAGGCAAGTGGATTGCCTGAGCCCACAGGTTCGACACCAGCCCAGGCAACTTGGCGAGACCTTGTCTCTACAATAAATGAAAAATTAGCCAGATGTGGTAGCCTGCACCTGTAGTTCCAGGAAGGCTGGAAGGCTGAGGCAGAAGGATTGCCAGAGCCTAGCAAGTCGATGCTGGGGTGGCCTTGAGTGTGCCACTGCACTCCAACCTGGGTGATGGAGTGAGATGCCAACTTAAAAATAAAAGATCCCTTCAACTTGTACCAGTCTACACTCCCCAGCAGTATACCAGGGTTCCTCTTTATTTACATGCTCAGTTGATTGTAACCAGCTTCTTAATTATCACAATCTAATGAGTATCATGTGTTTCCCTTTGTTGTTTTAACTTGTATTTTCTCTGATTAGCAGTAATACCATGCAGCTCTTTACACAATCAGTCATTTGTTTTCTTCTTTCTTTGAATTGATTCTTCAGATGTTTCCCCATTTTTTTAATTGAATTTCATGAATTATTTTCTTTTTGGTTTGAGGGATGTTATGGACTGGATGTTAGTGTTCCATAAAAATTTGTATGTTGAATCCCTAATCCTTAATCTAATGGTATTTGGACAGGTGGGGTCTTTGGGAGGTAATTAAGTTTAGATGAGGTTGTGAGGATGGGGCCTCCACGATGGAATTGGTACTCTTGTAAGAAAA